TTTCACCCTTTTTTTATTCCGCTATATTTGTGACTTCGTTGTTAAAATAAAACCTTTTTCGACAATAGACCCTTTTAAAGGGGGTAAGAACAATAATCTTTAGGTGGAAGTAAAAAACTTAAAAATCGTTTATACAGAGAGAGAGAGAAATAAAGAGAATGACAATTTTAGTGAAAAAGAAAGAGAAGATGGGACGGAGGCATGAGAGGGAGATAGCTAGGTAGACAAATAGATAGATAGAGATAGAGATAGATAGATAGAAAGAGAGAGTGAGTGAATGGCGGAGAGAGAGAGAGAGATAGAGAGAGAGAGAGAGAGTGAGAGAGAGAGAGAGGAGAGAGAGAGAGAGATGGGCAGAAAAAAATAAAGACATGTCATGTAGTACGACTGTGGGACTAAGACAAGTTAACAGAGGGCCAAATGTTTTACGTTCAGTCGAATTTTCAGAAATGATATTTCTTTTGTTTTTCAATCGGAATATTTTCAGTAAAAATTTTTTTATTTCCGTGACCAGGATTCGAACCTGGGTTATTGCGGCCACAACGCATGGTACTAACCACTATACGATCACGGCTATCCCGATGGTGAATGTATGGCTTGATCAACAAATAGGTAATTTTTTGTGGATGTAGAATTGATGGAAAGAGATCATTATCAACCTGTTTGTATCAAAGCTTCGTAGATTTTTTAAAAATCTCATGGGTATGTAAAAAGAAATTTTTATGCTTGGAGAATGGATCTTAAGATGATCTGTATTAGTTAGGAATAAAATAGTCACTTTTTAACGGCTTCCCCTTTTCGATTTATTGTTCGAAAGAGAGAGAGAGAGAGAGAGAGAGAGAGAGAGAGAGAGAGAGAGAGTGAGAGAGAGAGAGAGTAAATTTGTAAATGCAGAGAGGATGAGGATAAAAATATAGCAGTAATAAATATGAACATATAGATACACAAACACATGTGAATGAGAGAGATAATGTATAAGAATACAGGTAAATAGAAAGGTAGAAAAAATAATCTTGAATATACAGATACAGAGAAAGAGGTGCACATAAGTGCACACATAAACAGGTCGATAAGAAAGACATTTAATAGATTACCGATGTTGCAGTTAACTACCTCTGATGATATAAATATATATAATATTCACCATTGGCTGTAAAAGTGTACAAAAACGTTGAAATGTTGTTTGGACAGTTTGTTAAAAATACGTCTTTGTCTAGGCTTAGGCTAGTCCTAAAGCCAATAATTTTCTTCAATTGTTTTTATCCTTTTCTTCTCTCGGTTTGTGGTGGATTGGTGATATGATATCTTTTTAACAACCAATTGGTAATGAACAAAACAAAAACCGCACATCCTTTTTCCTCAGCTAGTTTTCTCGTGGATTGCTATCGTAAATTAGTGACTTATTATCAGTTAGCGTGAAAGAGAAGACGAGAAGGGAAGCAGAGGGACGGAGGGAGGGAGCGAGAGAGAGAGAAAGAGAGAGATAGATAGAGAGAGAGAGAGAGAGAGAGAGAGAGAGAGAGAGAGAGAGAGAGAGAGAGAGAGAGAGAGAGAGAGAGAGAGAGAGTAAAATAGTGTTTTAAGCTTCGCAAAAATAACTAATTAAATATAAAAGTGTTTTTTTAGATGAAACTTACTAGCTTTTAAAAGATGTAAAATAATTATACCAAAATCAATTGGAAGTTGCCATAAACGTAGACGAAAAAGTTTGAAAGTGCAACAGTTACAAAGTTTAAAAGACTTAACTAAGGATTTGTTTTAAACAAATTACGCCTGCAATATTGATTTGGGTTTTGAATACAAATTATATTAGGCAATTTAAAAGTAAAAGAAATATAAAATCTGTAGAGATTAATGAGAATAAATATAAAATCTTGACTTTCTTTTGTGAAGATACTTTTGTTATAATTGAATTCAACTCTTGAGATGGATTTTTTAAAATATTTTATTACTGACGTTCATTATATAACAAAAATGCTTTTGACCCAATTCGAAATCACGCACTTTGTTCGGAATTACGCTACCGTCCTTAGGTACAGTGGAGGACTTGATCAATTTTGATTCGATCCGTTGTAATCTAATCCGTCCTACGACCCATGAGAATCGTTGCCGATTTAAATTCAATAAAGCCCTCCCTCGGCCGGGCTCTTCGCATAAAGTATTTACGGCTCGCCGAATCCGATTAAATATCGGTTTGGACGGACCGCGGATGAGCCGAGTCTCCCCTGCGGGAAAAGTTCACGTGTCGGCTTTTGACGAGACTTTTTATGCGGTTCTAAATGACATTCGATTCGGTCCAAACGTATTTATCCGCGTTCGCAAAGTTACCAACACTCTGGGCGGACTCCGTTGTGAATAGGTTTAAAGTTGTAATGAACAAATCAATCACGCCTTGATTATTGATCATGGCAACCGGCAATTCAAATCCAATCGGTGAAAACGTTTATCGGGAATGAAATGTCCCACTTTAAAACAAAATATCTCTCATACTGTATCTACCATATTATAATTAAGAATAAGATCTTGTTAGAGAAAATAGATGTACGCTTTAAAAGAAATAATTAATTTGACTTTATGAGACAGATTTTGTCATTAGACTTTTCCCAAAATATAAAATAATATACCGTACGGAATAGATTCTCTTGAGATATTAGGCTATTTACGTTGTCAATTGAACTTTACCGATCTTTTTGGTCGGCCTATTCTCGCTGGTCAGTCTGTCGGACGCGTTTCGGCATTTCGCCCTCTTCAGTGAGTCTCGTCTTTTCAGGCACATTGAAGGCGGTTAAATGCTGAAACACGTCTGATAGATCAAGTAGGTAGGATCAAATCATATTATTTTTCAATCGCCCTTGGGCTTTATTGTGTTTTGTTATTTTGTATATGGTTCTGAATAAGTCAGGGTTATAAGGAGCCGGAGGCCCTGCCATAATGTAAAGGTAAGAAGCCATAACAGCCAAAATGATTGGAAACGCCCAACTACAGGTTCTTTACCCCGCAGACTCAAAAAAGAAAATATTACAATTTGTGTACGTTTTATCGATCTTAACTTTGATTTTAATTGACAATTGTTTAAAAATTATTTCATTCACCTGTTCCAAACTACAAAATAATTGACAGTGTGGAATACATTCTTTCGAATTATTAAGTTATATTATTTTTCAAACAGCTTTGGAGTTTATTGGAATTTTTGTTATGTTGTACATGATTCTGGATAAGCCTGGGTTATAAGCAGGGGGAGGCACAGACACGATGTACAGGAAGCAAGAAGCCAAAACGCGTTTGACAGGCCAAAATGATCGGAACTACAAGTTCCTACCCCGAAGTCCCAAAAAAGAAAATCTCAATACATATCAAATCTGTGCAAGTTTTATCAATCCTAAATTTGATTTGTTTAATTATTTGTACATTTTTCATCGATCGGTTCCAAAATTCAAAATTATTGACTGTCTGTGTGTGCTGTTTAGTGACGTTAGTCAATGATTATTCAGAGATCGTGAGATGCGGTCTGGTGTGACGTGGGTTTTAGAACAACATTTTCTTTATCGGGCAAACGTTTCGATTTTTATTGAGATCATCATCAGGGCTCAAAGTGTTTGTCTTCCGTGTAGATGTATCATTGTTGTGAGCCCTTGTGGGCACTTTCAATACGACTCACAAGAATGAGCCCTGAAGATGATCTCAATAAAGATCGAAACGTTGGCACTATAAAGAAAATGTTTTTCTAAAACCTACGTCACACCAGACCCGCATCTCACGATCTCTGAATAACCATTATGGACTGTATGGAATATATATTTTGTCAAATTATTCGGCTATTTATATTATATTATTTTTCAATCAGTATTGGCCTTTATTGGAATTTATTATTTTGTACGTTTTTTGAATATGTTTGGGGTATTCATGGGGGTGAGTCGACCATCTGCAGGCTGAAAAATAAAATTTCAAAATAACCCTGTGTCTATTTTATCATTTTCAATTTTTATTTTAATCATTAATTGTCAAATTTGTACAATTCTTCTGAAATACAATGCAAATAGTTTAATCTAAAGTTTGGATAAATATATTGTTTTTTTAATCATCTTAGAGTTTTGGCTATTACAACTTTGTACAAGTTTTTATTGTACATCAATTTAGATTCTTATTTTATTTATAGTGTTCTGAGTACTGTATTTCGATCCAGGTTTTCGATTTCGGGGTAGGATCGGCTAAACGTCCTGAAAGAAAAAGTTTAAACACTACACCTGAGAAATAATTTTTCCTGAAAAATCGCGATATATCTGGCCCAAGGGAGTTGATCTCGCGGCTCTTTTGAAATAAAACTTTAACTCTTATTTAAAAAAGAGAGAACTTTACACTTTCCCCGTTGTATTTTAAAAGGATCTACGAGAAAAACGCAAAGAACTATAAAGTGAAAAGGGCAGGAGATCAGAAATTCACATAGACACGATTGGCTTTTGTTTACTGCTTTTCTTAACCTGAACCTTTTGGTATAATAAAAAATAAAACAAATCACAAAAGAAAAGCCAAATTTAATATTTAAATTCTTGTAAAAGAAATCGTATAGAAATTATGCTTGGTTTTTATTGTAATTCAGCTATTAAACTTTTTTGTAAAGGACAACAATTCTCTTTAAGTAATACACGTCCTTTGTTACAATTTAATTTACATGGAAATTAATGGCCTTACGACGGAAATGTAATTCGGATAATAACATAGAAACAGGGATAAAAACGCAGTTTGAAAGATTGTTGGCTCTAAATTTAATGGTGGCCTATTTTACTGCTTAACTGATCTTTTGTTAGTCGAGGTCATTTCCCAATAGACTAAATTAAACGTCCTCTGTAAATTAAATAAACAATTCTTTTAAAGAAATAGACAAATCTTGTAAGAAAAAAGCTGTTCCGAACGCGAAAATATAAACGAAAGGGTTGAACCGACCAAGGACAAAGGGGCGTTCCTGTGTTAAAAACCACTGAAAAAACTGACAATGGACGTACCTGGTGATCGCTTTCGGTAAAAACTGTTGATAAGTGAAGTTATGATGTTACGGTCTATGTTAATCCCTGGTTGCTTCGGCGAGAAGAGACTGACTGACTGATGGGCCAATAAACACTTCCTCCTGACGGCTGGCCTTGTCACAAGGCACGATTGTCAAGTTCGATAATCTTCAACCGGGGGGAGAAAGGCTATTTTTTGTTTATATAATTGTTTAAAAACAAATAAATGAAAATAAAGAACGCGATGAAAAGAGGGAAACTCTTTTAATTGAAACGTCTTTTCGTTATACAGATTTTTTACACTTTTATTCTATCCTCATATGCAATGTAGCCTTGAATGAATAAATCTGTATTTTTTCCACGTAAAATAAACCTTTTGCCTGGTATTTCCATTAAATGTAAATCTATATATTTCTCAGATTTTATTCTGGGAAAGATAAATGTGAACTAAGCCCAGCATACGATTTGAGTGACGTAAATATTATGTATATTCTGTGTGTCACAGCCACTCCTTTATTATGATTTTTTTTGTGTGTGTCAACTGCTGCACGCTGAATATGTTGGGGCTAACTCACATCAAAACTTCTACAATCTTCAATTTTCCTCGCTTATAAAACTGTTTAAATGTTTTTCCAAAAACTCGCTTGTTCTCCACTTTTTGAGAGATGGAATTACAAAATTGGACGTGGAACGAGCAGTAGTTCTTCTTCTGGGTGAAATTGATTCGAGTTGGAAAATCATTAAGGATAGTTGCACTGGGAAATGGCCGGTTGTCGCAAAGGGACAGGTCCTTGTCCAAAGGGTGAAAACGAAATCAATCAGAACAAAATCAAATTTAAAATAGAACCTATTACAGTTCGTTGTCCGATTGACCAATTAACATTTTTCAATTAATTTAAAATTCAACTACGTTTAAAATTACACAAAAATTTAATTTTACAATTTTTTCTAATTGATTCAGTAGGCGATAACAATAATTAAAAGTCAAATGTTATAAATATTTTAGTTGAAATGCAGACAACACAAGACCCTGAAGATGATCTCTGTAAAGATCGAAACGTTGGCACGATAAAGATAATTTTTTTCTAAAACCTACGTCACACTAGACCGCATCTCACGATTTCTGAATAATTATCGATTAACGGTCACTACACACACACACACACGCGCGCGCGCGTAAATATTCTTTTTTGGGCTATATTAGATTAACCATAGAATTTTTACCATCAACGTTATTTCTGTTAGCTTTTTAAGACAAAGCACCTAACTTTGAAAAACCTGAGAGCTAGTGGAATGGATGGAATTTTAGAACTTTGCGCTATGTTCAAGAAGTGTTGATTAATATTAGGATCCTTATGTAGCAAAAACCTTGAGGAGTTTTGAGCATGAAGGTGGCATTTTACTGGGTGAAAAGTGCGGATATATTTGGTCAATTTTGAGTGTAAAAATGACCACTCTTTATAATTGTCTAGGGAAAAATTGTCATTGACCTAAAAGTGTTGATCCAAGGTATTCAAGGAAGAGAACCATGATATTTTGTATCTTATGAATTCCAGCGCAGTATTCCTGGGAAGGCGTTGGTTAGAAAGGTTTAGGACCCTGCACACATAGGAAGTACGCAAATTTAATGTAAATTGAAAAAATATTTGAACTGAGGTCTCAAGGTGATCATGTAGTTATGGGTGAAAGAAAGGAGGTGATACATTTTACGGATAAAATAGCGTTGTAGAGATTCAATTGCTTCAGAGCGCTGGAAAACCCAAGTCTAGGAAGCGACGGACGTGGGTTCGAATCCCGCTCGTGACATTAACTTTTCATCTAAACCAAGGCATTACATAAAAATAATAATTAATTAAAACAAAAAATTAAATTTAAATTTGTTCCTATAAGTATTATTATTATTTTTTATTTTATTTATTTATTTATTTTTTTTTTTGGCTGGGGCTTCCGACATCTAGGTCATTTCAGCCCCCCCCCCCAACTAAGTCTATATTCTATTTAACCCTTTCAAACACTGCATTCATACAAATAAATACATTCATACACATAAATACATCCATACAGTACACACATTCCGTTTGGTCGGTGGAGTACTTGATATTCCTCCACCGACCTATACTCAAACTAATCTAGATTGGGGTCGATGGAGTACTTTTGTAAATATTCCGCCATCGACCCCGAACACACACTCATACGCTCTCAACGTTCGAGAGGCGATGATGACGTTATATTTCACCCTCAGCCGTCGCATTCAGACAAAACATATAGACACACAGCACATATTATATACAATAAAAAACCCAATTTGCCCTAAAAAGCAGAACAGGGGACCCAGAAACTCGCTGCAGTGCTCGAGTACTATTTTCAGATCGGATGGCATGCCTACACGCTCCCTGTAGGGAGCCAAGACATGACATGTTTCCAGTATACGGGACACATCGAGCAACCTTTTTCTGCATAAGGGACACTTGCGCGGGCTTTAGCCCATGTGTCAACCGCGTATGGCCTATTCTTAATTGCGTAAGGACGATTCCTTGTTTCCGGCTCAGGTTCGTGGGGCCATCTACGAATCGTGCTCTTGACGCGCAAAAGCCTCTCGGACAACCCGGCCCACTGACGCTGCCATCTTTCTTTTATCATGTTCTTTACTGCTAGCTTGGCGTCACAGAGCCTGGTCGCGATGGTCCGGTCTGGAGGGTTGGACGTCCCGGCCTTTGCCGCTTCGTCAGCACGTTCATTACCCTCCAGCCTGACGTGTCTTCGTATCCAGACTACAACCACCGTTTTTTCTAGGCCCTTCTACTCGGCGAATTTTTCCATCAAAAGCACGACGAGAGGGTCCACAGAGAACCCGTCTCGCAGGGTCCAAACAGCGCTCAGAGAGACGGTAAATACGAGGAAAGCAGATCCTTTCTCGTTCTGCACCGCCTCGAGAGCGTGCCAGATCGCATACAATTCTGCCGTGTATACGGTGCAATGGGGGGGGGGAAGCGACCAGAAGGTGGCCACTCCTTTGCTATACACGGCACAGGCCACACCATCGCCAGTCTTGGACCCGTCTGTAAAGTCTAGACCAAAACCGGCGTACTTGTTCCTAAGTTCAAGGAACTTAGTCTTATAGAGGTGTGGCGGTGTATACGACTTGGGCGAGCTCGCCACGTCGTCGCAGACGAGTACGGCCGGAAGAGTCCAGTATGGTGTCGGTCGGTCGCCCAGCCGAAGCACAGTCCCCAGAGCCAGTCCAGCCCTCCCTAAGGCCTCGCCGAAGCGAATCCCGAGGGGTCGCGTCCGCGAGCGAAGCATGTCATACACGGCTCTGTACGGGCACTCAAGAATCGTCCTTGCTATTTTTTTAATTGTTGGCTTTTATAGACAAAGACCTTTTTAAAAACCTTGTTTGAGGTACAATTTCTTAGATAATGTGTGAAACAAAATTTATCTTTTTTTAACGATACTTTAAGGATATTAATTTGAATAAAATAAAACAAGATTATTAGGGAAAATTGAGATTTAAATCTAAATTTAAATTCCATTAATTATACTTCTTTAACTAGAGTCTTACTTGAGATAAAAAATATAATTAGTTGAAATAATTAAATAGGTCAATTATGGTTGGTTTTTTTAATTGGTTTTTCAATTATTTATTTATTTGTACGATTGAGAAAACAATTTGGTATTTCGATTAAAGAGCTTATTTACACTGTCTATCTTTCTCATTCCAATCTTTGGTCAATTAGGTCTTCATTTAATAGATTTAAGTGGTTAATAGAACAATTTCAGCTAGTTAAATTTCATTTGTTTACGTTTTTATAATAAAATTTTGTACTTTAAAAAAAAAATTATATCTGATAAAACTGGTTGTTATTTATAGGCAGAATCGCTTTCAAGGCTCTGGTTAAAAAGGATGGGTTTCCATCGTGACATTTGGGTTATTTGTTAGAGTTGCGATCCACTCTGTGTTATGGGCTTGTGACACTGGATCAAGGGCACATTCACAGCCTGTTTTTTGGCGTGGGTTTGTTACAGTTCACACCGAAAAGTCTGTCAACATTTCTAAGGATCGACATGATTAAACTTAATTAACGCTTCAATGACTCTCATTAATTTGCTTCAGTGCCAAAGACTAATTAAGCATTCCGACTATGACGGGTGGAAACAGTGATTTGACACTTTCGGACGGAAGTGAATTAGTTCACGATCGCAGGATCGAGAATTTCAGTTGTAATTGATTATAGAACGAGGAATTTTTTTGGCTTTAATTAAACGGTACATTTCACAAGAGGCAGAGAGAAACAATATCCGATAAATGGGAAACTCCGTCTAGGCCGGACGTCGGTTGCTGATTGCTTTGATGTTTCGGACCAAAGCGAAATTATTCAGGATTGGGGCCGAGTTCGTTAGGACGAGATATACAATTTGTAAAGCCCTTTGAATAAGGTCTGCGGGCGTTTTACCTAAACAACGCCGTTTATGTTATTCAAAAGAGCTCTTATGCTCGAAAGTTCTTCTCAGATTGTCCATGAAGAGACTGAAGTATGATCATGTCTCTTTATTCGTGCAGGAAATACAACAAAACATTTAGTAGTTTTTAATAAAAATGGTACTGTTGGAAACGTTATGACATTTTTATATATTATTTCCATTAAGTGCGATGAGTAGAGCTTTGATACGTCGACTTATGACAAAAGGGACCGAATCCGAAGATTGGCTTTTTTTAAGGCACACCACCTCGAAGGTTATCATAAACTCCGCTGTTGCGAACCCCCGTAAATAAAGAGATTATATTACTAATATTATATACTATAATACTACATATAGTACTATAAGTATACTACAATTCTATTTTACTTATGTGATATATTTATATGTATTATTAATACTACGCTGCCCATCAAAATAAAACCAACCACCTGGTTTTTGCACGAACCAAAAGGCCAACTTTGGAAATGCATATTTTCTCATCCTTAATTCCCGACCTGTGCTAGGTCTCATTTTTTTATACAATTTTACGCTTAATAAGATGGCTAATTGAAATGTTTACCTAGCTTCAGTCATTCATCAGTAAATTTGGGAACATGTGAATTTTTGCCCTTTTTACAAAAACTTCAAATTGAGCAGTGGAACCAGGAAATCGTCCTGGAGCGGCCCCAT